TGAAGAACTGGTTGTTCTGTCAAGTCCAGACTCGATGCTGCTGTCATCTCTCCACGTAGCTCCTGGGAGGTTTCTGAACCTTGAGTGTTTAAAAAGCAAGGCACAGGCAATGTGGATCCTGAGCCAGTGTTTTCTGTGTGAATCTGCGTTGGATTGTGCTGGCACACAAGGGTGAAGATGAGAGCTTCAGCCCTGTGCAGCAGCATGCCTTTCACCACTCTTAGACCTGAAGAGACAGAGGAGCAGAGAGTTGGGGCAACTTGTTTCCGTTCCCTTCTGGTCACCTGTACTCGGGATGGGATCTGTGCCCAGCATCCACCCCCATTTGCACTTCAACCAGCGTGCAATTCCTCTTGCATGTGTGTAGCTCCTCAGCTCTTCCCATCATTTTACAGCTGTTGGCTTAAAAAAACATATTGCTTTCCAAGTGTTTCACCTTCCCTTGGATTTAGCTTAGAAGCTAGAATCAACTGCTGGCACAGATTGGGGTTTTTTTGTTTCCTTCATTGCTGTTATGATCAAAATATTTTGTCTTATAAGTCTACAAAAGGGTGGGAGCTGCTCTTGGATAGGGACCTTCGAAGGGTCCCATAGCACATGTGAAATGCTGTGCAAGCACCTTGCAATTAAAGTAGTTGTTATTTTCGTGCTAACATCAAGAGGGATAGAAGAGTGGGCAGAGCTGCCAAGTCTTCTTTGCAGTTTAATTGTCTGTTTGGTAACAGAACACATAATATTCCATTACGAATCTTATTTGATATGGTAATTGGCTCATTTGCTCCCTGGTTATCAATGTAACTTCTCTACCGCAAACATCTGTACTTGCATTGTGTTAATCTGATGGAGTTAAACTATAAAAGTGTATTTTAAAACCTTTCTAAAATTCATTAACTGGAAAGTAATTGATAATAATGTGAGCTCTTCTCATATTGTTATCCCTTGTGAGCAGCTTGGCATTTGCTCCATAAACCAGAAAAGCAAAGTCACTCTGAAAAGGTAATGTGTTTCAAAATCTTAATCTCCTAAATCAGAAATATTTGAGAGCAGGTAACAGGATAGCTCAACTCTCTTTTTTTGTGGCCAAAAATACTGCCTCTTAGGATTCAGTGGTAATGCCTGCTTGTGAATGATGCCCTGAGTTAAAGCTCTATCAGTTGGCAAAGAAACCTGAGTACTTCCTGAATGTCTTCATCCCAAGTTAAACATCAGTGAAGAAACCAGAAATGAGCCCAGCACTTTACTTTGTACTAAGTTTGTTTGAGATGGGATGGTCCATCAGTTCCCTTATGGTGCTCCTGCCTCCTCCTCACCCTCTACTCATCTCCCAACCTCTCAGATGAGCAGTGACCATTCCCAACCTATCACTGTTTGTTCTTCTGCTGGGTATCTGTGCCTCCTCTGTGCCATTTATGCTCATCAGTTCTGAAATAACAGGGTGTCTAAATATGCTTTTGAAAGAGAATTATGGAATGCCAAGTTGGAGGGATCATCTGGTCCGACCTTTCTAAGCAAAGCACGACCTGGATGAGGTGTTTCAACACCCTGTCCAGCTGAATCTTCCACCACTTCCTTGGGGAGATTATTCCAGTGGCTGATTGTTCTCATTGTGAAACATTTTCCTCCTGTGTCCAGTCGGGATCTCCCTGGGAGTAACTTGTGCCCATCACCCCTCAGCTTTTCCATGTTACTCCTTGAAAAAAGGGAGTCTCAGTCTCCTTTGTAGCCACCCTTAAATACTGGCACATGGGGATAAGGTCTTTCCTCAGCCACCTTTTCTCCAGGCTGAACAGTCCCAGCTCTCAGCCTTTCCTCACGTGCTGCCCAGTCCTTAGTCTTCTTTGTGGCCCTTCTGGACCCTCTTCAGCCCGTTTGCATCCTTTTTGTGTAGTGGGGACCAAAACTGAACCCAGTATTCCAGGTGTGGCCTAACAAGTGCTGAGTAAAGCAGGTGACACCTTTGCATCTGCTGGTGATGCCCTTGATGTTCCCCAGCATCCTGTTGACTTTCCTTGTTGCAGCTACGCACCATTCACTCCTATGGAGCTTGTGTCTATCAGGACCCCCAGGTCCCTTTCCTCAGAGGTAACCATCAAATACAAGAAGTAACTGGAAAACTGGGTTAAAACATGGTTTAATTAAGGATAAATTGTGTCCTAATGCTTCTTTTGATGAAGTGACCAACTTTGGCAAAAGCAGCTTAGAACCCAGAGCAGGTATCTTTTTGTATCAAGAGCTGCTCATTAAACTTCTCATGTGTATCCCGTTTCTTGTCCTTGGGTTTTACGGTGTAGCTACTAAGGGCAGCAGTTTCCATGTATCCTGAGGTGGTCAGATGTTTGGGTTTTTTTTAACCCAAGTTTTGTGCTTGTGACAGGGGATGTCATTGACTTGTGTTTATTAGGCTTCCTGTGGCAAGTTTAATACATGGCTGAGGAATTACATGTTATCCTGTACCTACTGCTATGAAAACGGGAGCCATTGTACATCCATGGAAAATCTGAACTTTTCATGTGTCCAATTTTCACATTCCTTTTTATCAACTCAGTAAGCATTTCAGGAACTGATATGTGTGTGTGTGTGTGTGTGTGTGTGTGTCTGTATGCATATGGAGAAGGAGATTGAACGGGAATGAGAACATAAGCTATTGATCAAGCAGACTGGAACAAAATTACTCATTAGCTAAAAACAGCCAACAGTGAGAGAGCAATGATCTATCACAGGCTGATCTCAGTGTGATGCATCTAAGAAAGGGCAAATACAGCAGAATGAATGTGGCAAGATACTTGCTGTAGTGATAACACTGTATTTATGGCATTTTTCAAGTCCCCGGTAAGACACCTCTGAAATGACACACAAGTAATTGGAAGTCTGCAGCCTACAAAGAGCAGTTCAAAGCGGAGCAAATATAGAGGGTATGTGAGAGGGTGTGTGGGGGGCTTGTCACACCAGGACCAAGCACCCCTGGCTCACTGAGCCTGCCAAATCAAGGCTGCAGTATGGGAAGTGCAGCTCACAGTGAAGACAAATGCTGAGGAGGAATGTGATTTCAAATCAAAGGCGCTGTTTTCATAAAGAATTAAGTAATTTGGTCACAAATAAATGCAGAAGATGGTTTTCAAATGTCATTGTAACAGCCGTCTGATACAGGTAGTAAGTACACAAGTATCTAAATCCATTTAAGGTGGAGTTTCAGTTGTGTGTGTTAAAATCATGGAGAGGTGATGTGAAATGGATGTCTGCAGTCCCAGCCAGTTGGGTGCAGCCATATCCAGGTTTTTGCTCCAGTATGTGAGAGTTTGAGCTGTGAAGATACATATACATCCTGAACACAGTTTCTGGTATAGGTTTACATGCTTATCTGAGAGTGAAGCATCATCTTGCTCTATAAATAAATATTGCCATATGCTAATGGTCTCTAGTTTATAATGCAAAACTTGGGGGGGGGGGGGGGTGTTGAAGAGCTGCTTGTTTTAAAAGTATTAAATCCACCTACAAACCTTTACAATGATTTCACAGGAAGAAGGAAACCATGACCTGGGATTCCTTATTCCCTAGCATGGAATAACTCCCATTGATAGGTGGAGCGTGTAAAATGTTTGTCTAAACTCTGCGGCCCTTCCAGATTGACTTGCTTTGATAAATATTAAAGGGCAAAAGGCTGCTTTGACTTCCTGGAACTTGAACAATTAAACCTGCCAACATCGTAAGCAAATTGCCCTAATGTCAGTGGTGTAGTAAAAGAACAATAAATAGGTTCAATGTTCTTCATGATAAATGATATTCAAATTGGTTGTGGCTGCAAACAGCTCTTCTTTCTACTGCCAAGCTAAAGCACTGTTGAGTGCTAGTACACAGCCAACAGCTTTGCTGTATTACCAGAAAGTTCAGTATCTCTGAGTTCTTATGGATTTTACATATCCTTAGGGTTGCTCAGAGTACATCAGGACATTTTAAAAGCAGAGACCCAGAGATACCACTGTTTGTACATGTCTTGAGTGAAGAACTTGTCTGGTTTGCTGTTAGGAAATACACATCTTTGGTCATATAGAGCTGCAGTACTGATCAGTATAGAACCTCAGCCTGGTTTGGGTTGAAGGGACCTTAAAGCTCCTCCAGTTCCAACCCCGACACCTTCCACTAGAGCAGGTTGCTCCAAGCCCCTGTGTTCAACCTGGCCTTGAACACTGCCAGGGATGGGGCAGCCACAGCTTCTCTGGGCACCCTGTGCCAGCGCCTCAGCACCCTCACAGGGAAGAGCTTCTACCTAAGAGCTCATCTCAGTCTCCCCTCGGGCAGGTTAAAGCCATTCCCCTTGGCCTGTCCCTACAGGCCCTTGTCCCAAGCCCCTCTCCAGGTTTCCTGCAGCCCCTTTAGGCACTGGAATGTGATACAAAAGTATCTGCACACAGTTTCTTGAGCTCGCACAAACCAGAGAATAAAATCTTTGGATCAGTACAGCACTATCTATTTGCTAAGCTGAATTTCTTCACTAAACACAAGCCCGTGGTACCCTTGGAAAGTTTCATCTTAGTTTTATGTCCATTTTAATATAATTTCAGCTTTTGCTTACCCAGTGACTTAAGTATTGAGTCCAGAGAGCTCCCTGAAAAAACTCTTCTGTGTCAACTGGAGGATTTTATCTGAATAATTGTTCAGATCAAGTGTAAGTGAAATGATGTTGTACACAATGCAGCCTGATTCCACTCTAGTGTTGTGTGTCTGGGGGAGTTCCAGCTGGATTTTACCGTGTGTCAAAGTGTAGCTTATTGGGAAGAGTTATAAACAGCCATTGTCTTGGTGGGCTGGTGGCCCAGATCTAGTTTTGAAATAGCGCAGTGATAGAGCTTATATCATTCTATCAAACCCTGATCTGAAACTTCCTGTCCGCATTGCTGCTGCTTGTACTGTGTTGAGTCTTACTCTGTGGTTGCGTACGAGCACAACCAGTGTTTCTGTGGATGCTAACACCCTCTTTTGTCTTTCTTCCATTTTATTTGAAGTTCCTCCTGAGTTTCTGAAGCGACCGGCAAATATTTATGCCCATGAATCCATGGACATTGTCTTTGAGTGTGAGGTGACTGGAAAACCGACTCCAACAGTGAAATGGGTCAAGAACGGAGACATGGTTATCCCGAGTGACTATTTCAAAATCATTGTAAGTATATTGTGCATTTTGCTTGTTTCTGAGCTGTTGACCTGTTAGTCCTCTAGCATACATGTATGGAAACTTGGTTCTTTTATAGGATAGGCTTCCTGCTTCCGTACTGTTGATGTTTGGGGCCTGGAGGAGAAATGGCTTCTTGAAACCTTTAATGTTCCGTAATTCAGTCACTTTACCAAAACACTACAACATGTTGCTTATATTGTACAAAGTGATGTCTTTATGGCTTAGATTTTCCATGAGACAGACACACACACATTGACAGAGCACACTTTGTTGGCTGAACCAGTCGAAGCACACGCTCACAGCGAACAGTGACTGCTCTCAGCAGTCATCTGTAACCAGGGCCAGTTGCCAGAGTTTAAATATAAATATAACTGAGCTGTGGCTCGTGAGTTCTGGTGCTTCTAGAGGGAAATTTTAGATGTAGTCAAAGGCATTACTGAGGCGTAGTTGAGAACTTAATGGTCGGGTAATTGGTTGGATACCAGAGGTTGCAGGATTGTAACAGTGATCTCACTTAGCGTGCTTGCATCCACCGCCTAAAATGTCATAAAAATGCCTGTGGAAATGGTATGAGTTGCCAGTGATATGTGATGCTACAAAATCATAGTCATTAATGAGAGCTGCTGCTGCTTTTTGATACCCTGTAATTTGAAGATTCAACGCAAGAGAGGTGAAATCTGAGGGCAACTCCAAACACGCTTTTCCATGTTACTCGTTTGGAAGTTGTGTCTGTCATAGCAATGTGCCATAATAACAGCAGTGCTTTTGCAGTTGCAACCCATTCGTAAGCCTTGTGTTTTCCCTTTCCTCTTCAGAAAGAACATAATCTGCAGGTTTTGGGTCTGGTGAAATCAGATGAAGGATTCTATCAGTGCATTGCAGAAAATGATGTTGGAAATGCACAGGCTGGAGCCCAGCTGATAATACTTGACCTTGGTAAGATAAATCATGACAGTAGAATGCCAAATGGTGGGGAAAAACAATTTCAGGGGGCCTTTTCCATGTGATGTGTTGTATCTGGGGCTCAGCTACTGCAGGAGGTTGGATTTTTTAAATCACATGAGTGAGTCAGTGTCATCTTCCGTGCACCTAACGTTACTCTAGGAGAAATTGGGGAATTCCATAGGATCAACCTTGTATTTGTATCTTATCTGAAGTATTGTTGCATGCTGAGATTTAAACAAGTTACTAACAATGCTCCCCTTGCAATGCTCTGCATTTTGTGTTTTGGATCTTAAAAGAGCATAATTGCTGTTATTAAAAACCTACTGTCTTCCCAAAAAAACATAGTACAAATATTGTTCCTGAGGCATCAGCTTGTTTTGCTCTTTCAGGTCACACAGTTCTTTAAAATAACTTCTAAGAGCAGAAAGAAGAAAACTAATAAGAGGGATAAGGGGAGAGACAAGTCAGACAACAGTCATTTTTACTTGGGGGGGAGGGAGGGCTTGTGTTGCCTGGCTTTAGAGGGTATTGTTTCCAAATTGTAATCTTTTATTTGGGTGGAAAGCCTTACGGATGGTCAGAGGCATGATGTAACTTTATGCTTGTAGTGTTAACAGATGTGAATCTGCTAGACCTGGGTTTGGTGTTCACTGTGCAGAGCATGCCACAGAGAGAGAGCTTTTCTTTTCTGAATCTTTTGAAGAGTAGTTGTGCACTTAGAGCTTCTTCTGAGTTCTCAATTGGATGTGGGTATGTTTCCTTGCGGGCTGAAGAGATAGATGCATGTACTTCCCAAAAGGATTTGGGGAACAAAAGGTGCCCTCTGCTGGGTTCAGTAGCTTTAATCCTAGAGAGCTGTGGGGTTTCAGCCTTCCAGTGGTGGTAGGCGCCTGAATCTGGCAGCAGCCTACTGTCATGAGGTTGCCAGAAAACTCAGTAAAAGTAATTTTCTTTCTGCTCTCTGCATGAATCACCTCAGTTGTTCCCAAATCTTCCAAACGGAAGCATTATTCCATATTTTCCATGTTTGAAAAATACTGAATAATTAATGTACTCTGGTTTTGAAGCCCTGCCCGAGTCTGTACGTTCACCCTGCTCCCAGTAGTAGGTTATAAATTACTATTACTGTTATTATTTCAGTTCCTGTAGTCTCACTTTTCTTCCTTTCCTTCCCATGTTGTTTGCCCAGTGGTTTCTCCTTCCTGTTCTACTCTGGCAACCTGTCCTGTTCCATTAGAGGACTTTGCCTTATAATGCTGTCCTTTCTCTTTTGCATGCTGCCAACGGATTGTGGATGCAGTGTTGATGGAGTCTCATTTCGGGTGTGAAGATACACCCCGGCGTCCTGTTGTTCTGTTACATGGCCCGCAGTGTTTTAACAATGCACTCCCTGTGTAACCCAGATGCAGTTTAGTTGTTGTTCTCCAGTGGTAGAGATAAACACATGGTACATCACCAAAAGCACACTTTATTTGGTTGGGTGCTGAGTAGTGGCGTAACCAGTAGTGCGAGTAGGAATGAACATGCTGTGTCTTAGTTGTGAAAGCTGGTATAAACAGTCAACAAATACAGCTCTTTGATATTTTAATACCTTCTCACAGTATGTGAATGGCAAAGAAGGGAGCAGTGTTCAGGGAACAGTGGTGAAGGGATCATACACAGCAGTTCAGGACAGCTACCTTGGTATGAAAATTAAACCCACTGCTTTGAGAAAAACCTATTCTGAACACTTCAGTTGTTCATTCAGAATGCTTTTTGTTCTAAATTTCATCCCTCCTGATGGGAATTATCCACTTTGCCAACTGAGAAATTAGTTTCAGTGAGAAAACGTGAAGTGTTCATGGAAGTTCTTCCCAATTAGCAGCCTGCCCCTTCCCTTGCTGTTCTGTTTTCTCCTTCCAAAATGGAATTGGCAATTTCCAGACTAGCTATTTGCAGACTATTTCCCATGAGCCATTTTGCTTATCAAATTGATCTTTAATTAAATTTAAATTAGAAAGTAGAGGCCTTATGGAATTTCTTTATGGGCCAGGGTTGGGCCAAGTCTATAGCGTGGGCATCTGTAAAGAGAGCACAGCATTGAGCATGGTGTAGCAGACAGCAAGGAAGGAGGTAGTTGCTGCCATTAAAGGTGAGTTTGAGTAGCTGGAAAAAGTAGAGTTACTCAGACTTTGAGGGAGATACAATGAGAAAGGTTAAATAGAAATAAACCAGTAAGATGTTTGCACTCTGTATTATATCAGAACTCGGTTGGCTCTTCTGTATGTGAGTTTGTTTCAGTCAAAACCTTTCCCGTGGAAATCTTCCACTGTGTTGCACTTTGCTCTCTGCAGTGGTGCTGTTCCATCCGTGGCTTCATTGAGGGTTTCTTGGGGGTCTTGGGGAAAGTCAAATACCACATCTGGATTTTCTGCAGTCATAGGGGGTAGCATTATCATTAAACGCAACAGGCATAAAGTGCACATTGTGATTATCTGCTCCAAGTTTCTTCTGGCTCGGTCCTTTTTTGTCTTTCGGGTGGACTCTGAAAAGCTTGCACTAGATGTGGAGTTATTTGTGGAAAATATTAAAACTTAATTAGCTAAAAAAGGGGAAGTTGAAGGCTTATTGGAGAGGCTTTTTGTTTTCCAACTCTGTAATTCTCTGTTGATAGAAAAGACTGTGCTTGGAAATGGTTTGGCTGTACAGAAACCACAACTTTTGCTTTTCCTGGAACATACAAAAGGATTGTGGCATCAAGAGTTTTAGGGCAACTCTTCCAGCAGTGAGAAGGTTGAAAGCGGGAAGAGAGGGAATAGGTGTTGAGTAGATGGTCCGAGTTAAATACTCTTCTACCAATGTCCTCTGTACTTCAGGTGTAGAGTTCTGCCATGGAGTTGAAAAGCATCCCACCTGCATTCCAAGTGCTTTGAGATTTGGAATTGTGTCCCTGTTTCTCAGATACCTGCCTTCCCCTTTGGGGAATTTCACTGGAGTTGTGGCTCTGCTGCCTTTTAGGGAGAATTTAAGAGCTGCCTAAAGAAAGTGAATTGCCTCAATTACCACATTCCTCTGCACTTGCCCTCCACCAGCATTTGGCATCTCCATGCTCCTCTCTTTGACTCGTGTTGAGATAGGTGGTTTGTTCTTATGTCCTGCAGATGCTACCATGGAGACTCCTGCATACCCCAGTGAGAAGGAAGAACCTCAGTTGTGCTTTGGGAGTGATGTTCTCAGCAACCTCCAATCTCTCCCTTCCTTTTTTACGCAAACCCAGCCTTTTTTATGTCCATTGATGGGTCAGCCCTGACTATCTCGGTTACGGATCAGGTTTACTGATGTCCTCACTGAATTACAAGTTCATTTTTTCCAGCGTCCCTTTGTGTGGTCTGTCAAAACGTCAGGAATGGGTTTTCCTTGGGAAGGTTAAATGGCAGTGAGGAGCCTGAAGAGCAAATCCAGGACCTGTAACCTGGCTTTCTCCAGAGGAACTGGCATGGCTCAGAACTGCCATTTGGGGACTGGAAAAGGAACAGGTGGTAGTAAGTAAGAGGAGGTGCCTTTGGGGAGGGAGGCAGATGGTTCCCTGTCACCCCCATGTGATAGGCATTTGACAAGTATGCAGGCACCAAAAAGGAGTGATTCTTGAATGCTGTATAAAGACAAATCAGTGTAAATAAATATGCCACGTTATTTAGAGAACAATTTCAGACTGTTACCGAGATGTGCTGTATCACCTTCAAAATTCAAAGGGAGTGTGGTAATATACTGCAGGATTTTAGCTCTTTTACACTGCAGAAGTGAGGTGTTTGTCATCTGTGAGTTGTGTAGGAGTGAGATCTTCAAGTGAATGACTGGACCGTGCTGGTGGTACCCAGTAGTACACCAGCAGTGCACCACGGCAGGAGGTTCTGTAGTGATCTTGGAGATACTTAAGTCACACCTGAACAAGGGCCTGAGCAACCTGGTTAAAGGTGGCCCTGCTCGGGTGAGGGGTTGCGTAGGTAAACTCCTGAGATCCCTCCTAAGCAGCAGTATTTCATGATTCAGGAAGAGTGGTCTGAGAGGGGTGGCTGGACCCTGTTTATCTCTCTGTGTAGCCTTAATGTAATAGTCTAATTATAACAAGTTTGTGGTATTTATTCCCCTGCTGATCTCCTTAGGAGAAACAAGTGTTTGCTACTGGTGGCAGTTTGACATTCCAAACCAAATTTGATTACAGTATGACACCACTTCAGTTGCACTGGGTGATACTAATTCCTCGCTGAATTGCATTATGTGAATCCTAATTCTGAGTAATTTTAGAAAACATCATTTATTGACCTAAATTGGTGTAATTTAATCCCATCCAGAGTCACTGCTGCAGGAACGATTTCATTGATGCTGGTCCTTCTCTGCCAGAGTTTGGCCATGAGCTCTCTCGAGTCACAGCAGTGAAACAGGATGGACAAGACTCTGGCTTGGCTCAGGTCAGGGCTTCACCAAAGCACTGAGAGCTCTTTTCCACATCTGATCCTTCCAGCCCTTTTGTAGTAGCCTTCTCTGGAGGATACTTGCTTGCTGTGGAAAATGTCACACAAGGCAATGTCAAAAGCCTTATTTAAATCAAGATAGAGGAAATACTCTGTTTGCCGTCTCAGTTCCACTCCTCTGCCATAGGAGGCACATATGGGTTCTGTTTGACAAATGCTGGCTTCTGCTGAAAGAAGTCCAAACGTTAGCACGAAGAGGCTTGTGCTCCACTGTGAAAAACTCGGTGGTACTTTTGGATACTTTTCCATCTGTAGAAAATGACATAGATTTAGGTTGTACCCTGAGTGGTTGAGCCCTAGAGGCTGACAACTCCCATGTTACTTTGGGATCCATTTTGGGTGATTCCACTGATATCAAATGTAACTTCTGAGGCTCTCTCACCTCTTACAGAGTTACTTATTTAGAGTATTTTGTATGCAGTTACATACTGTGAATCAAGAATGATGAGTTTTGAGGTAATACTTTCTCAGTCCATGGAA